ATTTAAATTTTATCTTACTGTTAAATTAAAAAGCAATTACATAATTAATATTTTTATATGTTTACCTCTAAGCCTTTGTAGGGTAAACCCACTATTTTAACGTCCAACGATTTGTCTTCGTAAAATGGAAAATCACCACGTTTGTACATCATATCTATTTCGACCGTGTCATTCGGCTCGATGAAGAATGGTTTCCTGTAATAAAAAAAAATATCGTAATCATCGAGATAATAAAAATCACTATCAGTCGAAATAAATAACAAACATACCTGCTTGTCATAAGTTCTAAGAAATGCTGATTCCATTCTCCTTTAAAATAGAGCGTCGATAAAAAAATTACGGTGGTCAACGGATCTGGCGGTTCGTTCAATATAGTATCAATTTTGTCCATTGTTCGTTTCTTCACCCAAGTGTTTATTGTGTCTCGCGCTTCTCTGCCTTTTGTTCGAAAATCTAAATTTATCACTTCGCTATTGTACGCATTTTCGCTGATCGCGCGGAACTCGGGTCGAATCGGATATCCTTGCTGAAATAGAAATTAAAAGTCTGTTAAGTCTATTAATAGGAAGCTTTTATTTTTAATTGAAATAAAGGAAAATATTTTATTCTATTCGCATCTTTAAAGTGTAATCCACACAAATTCCATTTTTAACTTACATAATTTAAAGATTGATATTTTAATTAACTTAATATTCTTTCCCGAATGTTGGATCAAATTAATACACAATATAACGTAAATAAGCAGAATGTGGAAATTTACCTGAACAAAGATGCCACTAGCGGAACTCACGCGCGGCATATTGCTACCTTCAACCCTGTAATTCATGATAGCCAGGAGCTGACCGTACATCTGGTGAACGATTTCCGAATGTTGAGATATATCTACGCCAGTCTCTAAGCCGAGTACCCGAGAAACCTCGTCGAAGGTCTTGCCGGCGGAACCCAACAGGACTAACAACAAGGCGATGGATACGCTGATCGGAGAAAAGACCACGTTCTCGCGACGATTAGTCACCGAGGTTTTGTGAATTGCTCTATCCAAATCCAGAGCAAACTTTGTGATTCCCCTGGATATAATATTGTTCACCTGAAATCGACGATTTCAATGATATACGAAAGTGGATGATGTTTTCTTCATCGATTCATTAGTATTTTTTAAAAAACTTTAAAAGAATACACAAGAGATTTAATAATTATGATTACACGTGCACAAATAATAATTTACATGATTGCTCCAAGTTTCTTGCACGGATTGCTGGTTGGTTATCGAATTCACTGATGGATACAACGGTACGCGAGTGGGCGCAGGATAAAATTGCCCTTCTGCCGGCCTCGCAGCAGCGCCGAATTGTTGATTGATTTGAACAGGTGGCTGACTACTGCTGGTCGTTTGTAACGATTGAAAATCAGCAGATAGCGAGGCACGACTGTTGTTTATCGTCATCATTTCGTATTGATCCGGATAAATGGTCTGACCACCAGTCAACGCCAAAATACCAAACAACAGCCATAATCGCGTCATCCTTTCGACTTTTCGAATATCTGCCAAAAAACATAATGAAATTTTTAATTTAAAAAAATTGATTGACAAAAAAATTTTGTTTAAAAATATTTAAATTTTGTTCCATTACTTTCTGTTTATTTTTCTCTTTCTCTTTTAATGGTTTTAATAGTTCGAAATAATTTCGTGGCCAGCTCTCATACAGCTTAGAAGCTTGCAACAATATTGCAGCGAAGTTGCAGCATTGCATATTGCAATGCAATGCTTCAGAAACATTGTTCAAATATAGATTTGCAACATTATTTTAATAATGTTGTAGCAATATTTAAGAGGATGCTAAAGCCGTCTGTTTTATCAACAAAAATACCATTTTTGTTGGATACAAAATACTTCGTATTAATCGCATAGAATAAAATTTCCTTTTCCACGATTAAAACACACATGCTAATGCATCTGGCTCTGGTGTATTTTGTACCAAAAACAGGAAAAAATTAAGAAACTACAGATTTCGTTATCCATTATTTAACCTCAACATATATGGCGACAAATACTATCAATTTGCCAAAACATTTACTTCGTGAAAAAGTTAGGCAGGTTATATGCTCGAAATGAAGGCAGAACCAGATGTACAATAAAGAAATGAATATAGGTGAGTCGTTAAAATCAAATTTAGAAGTCTAAATAAAAGTACATTTGTATCCTACAAATTCGTGTTATGTATGCGTGAGATATATTGATGTGGTAATAAACATGACACATCACTACACACTACTATATCAATATCGCACGCATACATACTCACAAATTGTCGGTAAAACAGCGGATTTTTGGAGTTTGATCTAGGATTTAGGATCCTCTTAAAAGAAATGTAAAAAGAATTAACTACGATGTGTTTAAATACTGTGTGTATACGCTTACGCACATTTTATAATCATTAAGTTTTATTAATTATTAATTAATTTTACATAACAGCACTGCATTATATTCTTCGTTTTCCGTTTTCATCATGGTGGAAGGGATAACATGGTGTGTGCAGTTCAGCTAAACCACGCCCACTTTTGCTCGCCGACAGCCGCTGGGGGGCAGGTTCACCAACTGTGAAGAGTAAAATTATTTAACGTTGGCAAGTTGGTCGCGCTGAGTCTGCTGTCCTTGTTTCACGCGTTCCCTTAGAGCATCGGAATCTCTCTTTCTATCGTCTTTCCGTCGAAAGAGGTTACGGACTACAGACCACTATAGACATCACATGTGACAGACGTCACATGTGTGGGACGACAGAAAGTATCTGTTTATTTGCTTCTGTATCGATGTTTCAGGTAAATAAAATAAGATATAATATAATAAGATATAATAAATAAGAATATAATATAATATATTATATTATATTATATATTATACAGGGTGTCCCATAATAACCGCACCGGACCTCGTGGGCAGGTAAAGCAGATAAAACTGAACGGAAAAGTCCTCTACCATTTTGCAAAATTCACAATCGTTAACGAGATATTAATTTTTGTAAGATCGGCGAATAAACGCGTAT